TGTATACAGAGGGGATAGGATTGATACTTGATGTGAAGACTCCTTCCTTCTCAGTTGACATTTTGAGCTACCACTAGGTCAAGTTCATCAAATTGTAGCAATTTACACTTGTATCTTTTTTCAAAAAAATTTTTTCTTATCTTCCTCTAGTCAAGTTCATTGAAGCTCAATTGAATGGGTAGTATCTACAAGTTTGGGTGTTCTTGTGTATCTCCCTTCACTTCATATCAGCTGGACACTTCAATCTCAGCTCTAGCCTTCGATGGCTATGTTAAAGAAAGGTTTTCTTGATAAAAGAAACATTCTATAATGGTTACAAGGTGGGGGGATAATTATAAAGTTAGAGAATAGACATGGGTGATAGGGTAGGCAAAATAAAAGAGGGAGGTTGGTAGAGGAAAGATGAAGGTAGCAGGTGATATGGGGAGGAATGTAAGAGTTAAAGTAAATAAAGGTAAATATTGTTAACTGATGGTACATGGAAGGTATTGCAATCATTATAATGAAGCAAAGTATATAATACGTTGAATGGAAAATAATGTTCTGCTGTGTAAACCTTCACTCATTGCAAAGTAAAAACGTTTTAAAAGAAAGAAAAGGTAGAAAAACACAAAAGGATGTCAGAAAAGACTCTGCAACTTACTCTTGAATACGAAGTAGCTAAAGTAAACAGAAACAGCTGCAAGCATACATTGACAGAGAACTTCCAGAGGTTCAACACGAGGACGTGGAAAGAAGGATATCATTGCTGATGTCCGATGGATCTTGGCTGAAAGCAGAGGATACCAGAAAGATGTTTACTTGTGCTTTATTAACTATGCAAAGGCTTTCGATAGTGTGGATCATGACAACTTATGAACAACATTGTGAAGTATGAGTATTCCTGAACACTTAATTGTGCTCATGAGGAATCTGTACCTGGACCAAAAGGTAGTTTTTCTAACAGAACATGGGTACACTAAATGGTTTTAAATTAAGAAAGGTGTGCGACAGGGTTGTATTCTTTCACCATACTTATTCAACCTGTATGCTGAGCAAATAATCTAAGAAGCTGGGTTGTATAAAGAAAAACTTGGCATCAGGATTGGAGGGAAGGCTCATTAACAACCTGCGATGTGCAGATGATACAACCTTGCTTGCTGAAAGCGAAGAGGAGTTAAAACATTTACTGATGAAAATCAAAGAGCACAGCCATCGGTATGGATTACATCTCAATGTAAAGAAAACAAAAATCCTCATCACTGGAACAATAAACAACATTCTTATCAACAGAGAAAAGATAGAAGTTGTCAAGGACTTCATTCTTCTTGGATCAACTATCAACTCTCATGGAATCAGCAGACAAGAAATCAAAGGACGTATTGCATTAGGCAAATCTGCTGCACAAGGCCTTTTTAAAGTGTTAAAGAGCAAAGATGTCAGCTTGAAGACTAAGGTGCGCCTGACCCAAGCCATGGTATTTTCAATAATCTCTTATGCATGCAAAATCTGGAGAGTGAATAAGGAAGACCATAGAAGAATTGATGCTTTTGAGTTATGGTGTTGGAGGAAAATATTGAAAGTTCCATGGGCTGCCAAAAGAACCAACAGATTCGTTTTGGAAGAAGTGCAGCCAGAGTGCTCCTTGGAGGTCAGGATGGCCAAACTTCATCTCTCGTACTTTGG